CTATCTATCTATCTATCTCTCTCTCTCTCTCTCTCTCTCTCTCTCTCTCTCTCTTGATCTATCTATCTATCTATCTATCTATCTCTCTTATCTCTACTATCTCTCTATCTCTATCTGTATCTCTCTATCTATCTGTCTCTCTGTCTAATTATCTATCCTCTCTCCCCCGTTTCTATTGATCGATCAATCAATCGATCAATAGATAGAACCTCTCTCTCCCTCTCTCTCTCTCTCTCTCTCTCTCTCTCTCTCTCTCTCCTATCTATGTATAAAAAGCTTCATTTCTAGAGCTCTTAAGTTACCCGCAAAGTCCATTTGGTTCGCTGAATACCTTTTTTCAGTCAAACCCCTTACTCGCCACTCTTACTCAAAGCAGAGACTCAGCACCACGAATGCACGTCTGGGTCCAGAGAGACCAAGGTGGAAATTACGGGGTGCTTGGAGCGCTTCCCAGGTTGGCCTCCACCCATCATACTAATAGCCTACAATTCCTTCACTCTGGAACTTAGCAACTCATGCTAATCCAGCCAGCTCTGGCTTCTTCAGCAAAATATGACGAAAACCATGGCTTATTACGGTAGATAAATACAGCCAATTCACGACCTAGCGGTGACTTCCCAAGAGGATTGCATCACGGCTAACTTTACTCACTTGTAAAATACCCAAGATGTCCTGAAATCAAATCCAGGTCAATTGCTGGCAACACCTCCGAGCAAGGGTTGGGGGAAAAAAAAACTACCAAGAGAGAATTATCTGAGATAGGTGGTCAAATGATCCAATTCAACAGAGAGTCCTTTCCAAGAATAACGCGTTGCGAATCCCAAATTCCACCGAAAGAAAGCCAGGGCTAAATTTAAACTCTTGGACTCCGCCGCCGGCGGTTAAAGTAACATCCTTATAAACTTGGCAAGAAAGGTGAGAGAGAAGAAGAATAGGAGAAAGAAATTGGTCGGCCTCCATCAGTCATGCATGAAAAATAAAATAAAAGAAATTTTGAAAAAACCTCATTTGCTTTCGAGACAAAATAAGGGTTTGAAGAGCTCGTGATGGGATCCTGGAAGGAGACGCAATGAATGAACGATAACTTTTGGCGCGCCGTTTTTTAGTGTTTCGCTTCATTTCTGCTTATCAATCTGTCTAATAGCTGTGAAAGATCAGAATGAAGTTAAATAAAAACCTAGTTTATTTTATTTTTTTTAAAAACCACCATTCCTCTTTTTTCTCATACAAAAAACCCCCCAATTTGTCCCCCGCCTCTAGGGATCATTCCGTTAATCTGGGTGTTTTCTCTTTTGTTGGCTAGATAGTGATAAACTTTAAGAAATAAGGAGCAACCCTGTGGTTTAACAGAGTAACAAGAGCTGGAAGGGACCTTGTAGGTCATCTAGTCCAACCCCCTGCCCAAGCAGGAGACTCTACAGCATTTCTGACATATGGCAGTCCGTTCTCTTCTTTTGGATATAACTATATAAGTACAGCATTTTTATTCATGGTGTAACAAAAAGAGGACATTTTCTGGACAGAGTAGACACAACAACATTTGCATATGTCTGGTTTAAAGTATAGGTGGTTAACTTATGACAGTTCATTTAGTGACAGTTCAAAGAATATATCTGCTGAACAAAGCTCTGCATTGGCAACAGGAAGGGCATCCGGCCATTAAACGCTCTGCTGGCTCCATTCAGTTGCCCAGACTCCACCTTGCAAGGCCATGGTGGGTTGCAGGCGGTATGCCCCAGTACGGGCGTACTGGTGTCTGCTGGGAGCACCGGGTATTGGTGCACCGGAGGGCCCACCCGCTTGCCTGAAGTCCTTACCTGTATTTGAGCTCTTCAGCGCTTCCGTGTATGTGCACGGAGTGTACGGTGCCTGCGTGATGCTTCGCCGAGCAGCTGGAGCGTTGCGGAGACGTTGTGGAGGTAAGGATGCATATGGGAGATGCCGGGCCCAGTTGCATCATACTGGTTGCAATGAGATCCGGAACCCACCACTGCTGCAAGGGATTATGGGGTCATTAAACAATGATGATGATGATGATGAGTTGGGTGTCCTCTTAGAGCTTTAGGTAGTCCAGCTCAGCCCAGCCTCTCCAATTCCTAAAGAAAGATTGGACATCTAGTTTGGAAGATGGTTGAAGATGTTTGTCCCAAAGGTGCTTTTTTCCCCAAGAGGCAACTGGGCTTTCTTGTTTTTCTTTGAAGACATTTCGCTTCTTGTCCAAAAAGCTTCTTTAGCTCCATAGACGTGTTGAAGACATGTTCCTCGCTCTTCTTCCCTCATCTCCTCCATCAGATCTCTAGTATTTTACTAAGGCCCGGAACCAGCCTGCGGAGCTGGCAGAAGAGTCGGACAGTGAGGAGGTTGGGGAGGAAGATGGGCCAGTCCTGGAGTCTGGGAAAGGCTCGGATGAGGGCTCTGCGTCGGAGGTAGAGAGGGGGCCAGGGCCATCTGACAGTTATCAGCTGCCTTCAGAGTCAACATCAGTGAGGCAGAAGAACAGAGGGGGGCAGGGCCATCTGAGAGTTATGTGCTGCCTCCAGAGCCTCCAGAGTCGGACATCAGTGAGGCAGAGGAACAGGGGGAGCCTGTTCCCAGTACATGCATGCACAGAGCTGCCAGAAGGCAAGAACAGTTAAGACAAAAGGGGTGACTCGGGAGTAAGGCTTGGAGATGATTGGCCCCTCCCATAAGACATAAAGCAGGAGCAAAGGCATAGGAAAGTTGCGGGAAGCAACTTTGTCTGTTCCGGTCGGTTTAAACTCTGAAGCTCCGTTTTGACTCTGTGCTCCGTGTGGCCTTGCAAAGCTAATTGCCAATTAGGTCTTTGGCAGCGCTTCAAGGGAGATAAAGGTGGGTNGAAAAGAAAGAAAGAAAGAAAGTAACAAAGAAGAAAGAAGGAAGGAAAGTAAAAGAAGGAAGGAAGGAAAACAGGTGAGGAAGGAAGGAAAAGGAAGGAATGAAGAAGAGATAGAGTGAACGGAAGAGGAGGAGGTAGAGAAAGGGAAAGAAAGGAAATGAAAGAAAGAAAGAAAGAAAGAAGGAAGGAAGGGAAAGAAAAAGAAGGAAGGAGAAAGAGAATGAAAGGAAGAGAGGGAGGGAGAGAAAGAGAAAAAGGAAAGGAAAGAAGGAAAGGAAAAGAAAGAGAAAAAGAAAAGAAAAAGAAGGAAGGAAGGGAAAGAGAGGTGAGTAAGGAAGGGAAAGGAAGGAAGGAAAAGAAAGAGGAGAAACAAAGAGAAACAAAGAAGAAAGAAGGAAGGAAAACTAGGAAGGAAGGAAAACGGGTGAGGAAGGAAGGAAAAGGAAGGAAGGAAGGGAAAGAGAGGTGAGTAAGGAAGGGAAAGGAAGGAAGGAAGGAAAAGAAAGAGGAAAAAGAAAGAGAAACAAAGAAGAAAGAAGGAAGGAAAAGAAAGAAGGAAGGAAAACAGAGGAAAGAGAAAGAAAGGAAACGAAAGAAAGAAAGAGGGAAGGAAGGAAAAGAGAGGTGAGTAAGGAAGGGAAAGGAAGGAAGGAAAACAAAGAGGAGAAAGAAAGAGAAACAAAGAAGAAAGAAGGAAGGAAAAGAAGGAAGGAAGGAAGGAAAACAGAGGTGAGGAAGGAAGGAAAAGGAAGGAAGGGAAAGAGAGGTGAGTAAGGAAGGGAAAGGAAGGAATGAAGGGAAAGAAAGAGGAGAAAGAAAGAATCAAAGAAGAAAGAAGGAAGGAAAAGAAGGAAGAAAGAAAAACAGAGGAAAGAGAAAGAAAGGAAACGAAAGAAAGAGGGAAGGAAGGAAGGGAAAGAGAGGTGAGGAAGGAAGGGAGAGGAAGGAAGGAAAAAAAGAGGAAAGAATAGAGGGAGGGGGAGATCATGGCGATAAAACGAGAAGAAGGAAGCAAAAGAAAGAGATGGAAGAGAGGAAGGGGAAGAAAGAAAGGAAAGAAAGAGAAGGAAAGAAGAGAATCTNTTCCGGTCAGGTGCAGAGGTGCAGAGACAAAGGATGACCTTGGCTTTCTAGAAAGGAATATTGTTATGGCTACATAGCGTCTAACTCCGTACAGTCCCATTTTCCCACATTAGAAAATGCCTAGTAGGGTAATAGAAAGTCTGACAGGCCGAAGACCCCAAACAGAGCCCTCGTCCGAGCCTTCCCCAGACTTCAGGACTGGCCCAGGTTCCTCCCCAACATCCTCACTGTCCGAATCTGCTGCCAGATTCTGCCTGGCGGCCCCCAACACCTGCTAACAGTGACTGGTTCCTTGAAAACTTGAAATCCCCCAAAATATATATATCATATTTTAAAAAATCCTAAAATTCTTGTGCAGATCATCTGGATGTTGACGGAAAAATGCAAAGAGCTTCAAAGTCAGCTGGACGATCATCTAAAAACGAAGAGCCTCCTGGCCAAAGTGCAGAAGTCAAGCGAAGGCCTCTTCCAGGAGAATTTTGTCCTCCGGTAAATCTTACACACACAAACACAAACACACAAGCACTTTCCTTTTCCCGCTCGCTAGACCAGGGTGGCAGGCAGGATCCATCCCAACTGGGGCCTCTGGTCATAAATTGGGATTGTTTCTGTACCCGCCGGCTGCTCCTGGGGTGTCCTGTCAGAAAAGATACAGCAGGAAAGGAAGATGGGGAAGAAGATGAAAACTACATTATTCCTTCCTTCTTTTTCCCTTCCTTTCCTCCCTGCTTTCTACCTTTCTTTCTTTCTCTTTTCCTTTCCTTCTTTCTTTCCTCTCTTCCCTCCTTTCATCCCTCATCTTTCTTTTTTCTGTCCCTCTCTCCTTCTTCCTCTCCTTTTTCTTTTCCTTCCTTCCCCTCTGTGTCCTTCTCTTCCTTTTCCTCCTTCCCTCTGCCTCTTTTCTCGTCCCTCTCCCCGTCCCTTTCGTTTTCCTTTCTCTTCCTTCTTTCCTTTTTTCCTTCCTTCTCTCCTTTGTGTGTGTCTCTCTCTCTTCCTTTTCTTCCCTCCCTGTTTGTCTCTTTTCCACCCTCTCTCCATCCTTTTTCTTCTTTTTGTTCCTCCCTTCCTCCTTTTTTCCTCCCTCTCTGTCTCGTCTCTTTTTCCTCTTTCTTGCTTTTCCTCCCTCCCTCATTTGTCTCTTTTTTCCTCCCTCTCTCTGTCCCTTTGATTTTCCTCTTCCTTCCTCCTTTTTTCCTTCCTCTCTGTCTCTTGTCTCTTTTTCCTCCCTCTTTTTCTTTCTCTGTCCCTCTTCCTTTTCCTCCCTCCCTCTTTCCATCCCTCTTCCTGTCTTCCTTCCTTCTTTTTCTTCCTTCCTCCTCCCCTTTGTCTTTCTCCCTCTTCCCTCCGTCCCTATTTTTCCTCCTCTTTCCATCCTTCTTCCTCTTTGTCTTCCTTTTTTCTTCCTTCCTCCTTCCTTCCACTTTGTCTTTCTCCCTCTTCCTTTTCCCTCTCCTCTTCCTCCTTGTCTTCCTTTTGTCTTCCTTCCTCCTTCTGTTTCTATCTCTCTCTCTCTTCCTTTTCCCTCCCTCCCTATTTTCCCTCCTCTTTCCATCCTTTTTCCTCTTTGTCTTCCTTTCTTTTTCTTCCTTCCTCCTTCTCTTTGTCTCTCTCCCTCTTCCTTTTCCCTCCCTCCTTTCCCTCCCTCTTCCCATCCCTCTTCCTCTTCCTTTTTTCTTCCTTCCTCCTTCCCTCCTCTTTGTCTTTCTCCCTCTTTCTTTTCCCTCCCCTCTTCCTCTTTGTCTTCCTTCCTTTTTTTCTTCCTCCCTCCTTCTGTTTCTCTCTCCCTCTCCCTCTTCCTTTTCCCTCCCTCCCTCCTTTCCCTCCCTCTTTCCATCCCTCTACCTCTTTGTCTTCCTTTTTTCTTCCTTCCTTCCTCCTTCCCCCCTCTTTGTCTTTCTCCCCCTTCCTTTTCCCTCCCCTCTTCCTGTTTGCCTTCCTTTTTGTCTTCTTTCCTTTTTTTCTTCCTTCCTTCTGTTTCTCTCTCTCTCTCTCTTCCTTTTCCCTCCCTCCCGCAGAGACGAACTGAACATATTGAAGGAAGACCTGAGCCAAAAGCTAGCCAAGGAGCACGACCAGATAAAGTTGCTGCAGAGCGAACAGCAGCGCAGGGTGAATGCGGAGAGGCTCCTGAAGTACACAGCTCAGGGCCTGAAGGACGTGCTGAAGGTGAGCATTTACCTGTGGACTCACCTGGATCCCAGGTGCCGAGCCCATATAAGATGCGCCACACGGCAAAAGAGTCCCAAAGGTGCTTTTTTTTTCAGGAGCCAACTGGACTTCCTTGGGTTTTTTTTTCTTTTGAAGACGTTTCTTTTCTCATCCAAGGAGCTTCCTCAGCTCTGACCGGATGATGGTGGGGAGTGGAAGGATTGATGCTCCTTGCAGACAGCTGGTCCTTTGCATCCTTTTAAAGGGTCCTTGAGGCCACTTGGAGGTTTCTCTGTGTCCTCAGGGTCACCTGAGTGGTGCAAATGGTTCCTGGAGTCTGCAATTTTCTCTCTGGAAATCCATTCCTCCTCCCACCCCATTCCAAGGGTCTCCATCCCAAATTGTGTAGCTAAAAGTCTGTAGAGATTCTCAGTCCTCCAGGCCATGGTTGTCCCAAAGGTCTTTTTTTTCAGGAGGCAACTGGACTTTCTTGTTTTTTTCTTTTGAAGACGTTTTGCTTCTCATNACATCTTCTTAAAGACTTCCAGTGTTGGGGCATTCACAACTTTTGGAGGCAACTTCTGTTCCACTGATTAATTGTGTATCTTCCTTCTTTCTTTTCTATTTTTCTTCAGCTTTCATTCTCTTGCACTTTTTTGCTTTTTAATTTCCTTTAATTTCCTTTCCTTTATATTTTTATTATAAATTGTTATTATCTTCTTGTTCAAACTTTTAATTAAAATTATATACAAACAAGGCAATTTCACTAACTAAAGTCACAGCAATCTGCACTATCGTAAAGATCAGAGTCTATCCATAGATACCCCCTTGACTAAAATCAACTAGAATAGAACAGAATAACAGAGTTGGAAGGGACCTTGGGGGTCTTCTAGTCCAACCCCCTGCTTAGTCAGAAAACCCTACACCCCTTCAGACAAATGGTTGTCCAATCTCTTCTTAAAAACCTCCAGTGTTGGAGCATTCACAACTTCTGGAGGCAAGTTGTTCCACTGGTTAATTGTTCTAACTGTCAGTAAATTTCTCCTTAGTTCTAGGTTGCTTCTCTCCTTGATTAGTTTCCACCCATTGATTTTTGTCCCGTCCTCCGGTGCCTTGGCGAATAGCTTGACTCCTACTTCTTTATGGCAACCCCTGAGATATTGGAAGACTGCTGTCATGTCACCCCTAGTCCTTCTTTTCATTAAACTTTTCATTCATGTTCCCTTAGCGCAGATATTTTGTTTCCATTTTGAATATGCAAGCTCAAATTAAAACTTGCAACAATTACTGTAGGAGCATTTAAGCAAGCAAGCAATTGGTAGTAAAAAAACTGGCAACCCCCCACTGGTTAGAAACTAACTTGTGAGATAGTATTGGCTTGTGGTTTGCTAAAAGGGATTTAAAAAGAAATCTCATTGTCTTACCAGAATAGAGAATTGAACTAATCCCTATCTGGTTTTTTTTTACTACTTATTTGATTTTTTAAAAATTTCTAGCCTTTTTTGTGGGGTAAGTAACCTCAAGGCAGTGTACATACCTGATGCTACTCTTTCCCCCTACAACAACAACATTGTGAGGTGGTTTGAGTGGAGGGACAGTAATTTGCACAAAATTCACCTAGCATTAAACCAAACCAAACCAAATCAATTTGTTTTCTTAAAATGTTGGGAAGAAGATTCAGGTATAGAAATGATGGGAAAATATGCCCCATTGTTCTGCCTATGAGCATCTCCCTCATGCTGTTCATACTTAAAATGTGCAATACTAGCAAAGCAATTATATGCCAAATAAGTTGGTTGTGTAAGATAAGGGAAAATAGAACAAAATTTGAATTAATGAACAAAATGAGTTGGGTCTACAAATTATTATGGGATGGGGCTAGAGTTTCTTAATACTTCCAGACCCTTTTGTGACTATGAAAATGGCAAAGCTTCGCCATTTTCTAGGTTGAAGACTTCTTCCAAATACAACTAAGGAGAAATTTCCCGACAGTGAGAACAATTCGATCAGTGGAACATTTTACCTTGAGAAGTTGTGGGTGCTCCAACAAGTTTTAAAGAAGAGATTGAATAGCCACTTGTCTGGAATTGTATTGGGTGTCCTGCTTGAACAGGGGGCTGGACTAGAAGACCTCCAAGGTCCCTTCCATCTCTGTTATTCTGGTTTCAAGGACCATCCACATAGTTTAAAACTTAAATAGGATAATTCATTCTTCTTTCCAACTGATCTAAACCTCATGAAGGGATTTTCTTTCAATCACATGCCCTCCACCTATATTTGCTTTCAAATCATATCATTCTCAACTCATTCATGGTCGCTTGGAGCATCTTACAAAAAAAAAAAAAAAAACGAAATAAAGCCCAATAATTTCATGCCCTATGGTGACCACAATCAAATAAATCACTGCAAGGAAATGGACTGAATCAGGATCTCCCTAGACTTAATCCAGTATCTTCCCACTGGAAACAATCTTCTAAAGTCTGAGAATCTTTTGCAAAGGAATTAATGAAACAAGATACAATTCTAAGTGCGTTGATGCTGCTATGAAACTCCTTTTCTAAAGACAAGAGGATTATTAAGCTCTGGAACAAGACTAATATGGGCCCCCCAAATGCAATGTGCACCCACCTGCGCATGCACCCCACCCCTGCGCATGTGCGCATGGCCCCCATGCATGTGATCGCGACCACCCGAATGTGCCCCCCCCTGCGCATGTGGGGCAGGGGGTCACTGCTTTGCTGAAACCCCATGAGGTCACTGTTTCAACCTCTGTGTCAATACCTGAAGTTATTAAGTGAATCACATGGCAGTTAAGTAAATCCTTTTCCCCTTCATGGGCTCCCTTTGAACTCCATGGGTCCCGGAACAATGTACCGGCTGCCCCTCCCTCTTCTCAGGCCTATCTAAAGACAGTAGTAATGATCTTTTTGAAGGTTCATTGTGTTTTGACCCTAAGAAGATGGCGTGATAATTTTTTAAAAAAGCAAACCAAAAAGCAGATCTCCAAACAATCGATTCAGCCAATGGATGAAGACCTGAATGCATTCCATGCAAGCCGCTGTCAGTTTTCAGAAGTCCCAAATCTGAGAATCCAGCGGGTCCCGTCTTGCGCCAACTTCGAAAGATCTGGGCCGAAGTGGTTGGCTTCCCCATAGAAGTCCCGCCGTCCCTCCATTTCCCCCACCCTACCCTTCAAACGTTCATACCTGGATGACCCGCATGTTAAGGCCGGTCTCCTGAGCCAGCTGCTCACGGATGTGCCGGGTGGGTTTCGGAGTGGCGGCGAAGGCTGCTTTGAGGGTCTCCAGTTGTTTGGCTTTGATGGTGGTGCGGGGCCCCCTCCGTTTAGCCCCCAGATTTTGGTCGTCGTTCTCATTGCTGCCCACCTCCTTGTCGGAGATATTGGCGCTTTCCAAGTCCTTGGCGTCGTCCTGGCTGGGGTCTTGCGAATCCGGGGACAGGCTGGGGTCGCTACCAGTTGTAGCTGCAAGAGGAAGAAGCAGAGGTATAAGTAAAAAGGGGATAGAGATTGTATTGCAGGGGTCCTGCAATCATTGATATACAACACTAATAAAACACAAACAGAAATATAAGTTTATGTAGAGCATCAGCACATATACATACACACACAGACATATATATATACAAACACACAAATACACACACACAGAATATGTATGTGTGCATGTATAATATGTAGACAGCACAATATATGAGATAAAATATTAAAGTAAGGTAAAACCATGATAAAAATCACCATAATATGGCACCAGAGAGTCGCAATAGGATAGATGCTATAACTAATAAAGCACAACCACAAATATAAGTTTATGTAGAGCATCAGCATACACCACACACACACACACACACACACACTGTATGTGTGCCTGTATAATATGTAGACAGTACAATTTACCAGAAAAAATATTAAAGTAAGGTAAAACCATGATAAAAATCAACATAATATGGCGCCAGAGAGTCGCAATAAAATAGATGTTATAATTGAACATCTAAGGAAGCTAACCATCTATGGCAGGGGTGTCAAACTCGAGGACTGTGGGCCAGATCTGGCATGTGGGGTGGCTTAGATGCAGCCCGCGAGGCTGCCCTGGGAACAGTGAAGGATCGGTCCGCAGTGCCTCTGCCAGCAAAAACAGAACTAGGGAGGGAGGCGCTCGGCCCCCCATACGATGTCAGTGCATTGAGAGTTCATGACTGGAAGAGACATGGCAACTGGGTCAGCCAATGAGGGGCTGTTTGGAAACTGAAACAGTATTTGCTGTGTGCGCAACGAGGAGACAGCAAGGAGCCTGGGCGTGGCTTAGCTCAACTGTTCTGTACTAAAGCTCTGAGTCTGTGCGGAGCTCTAAACTAGCCTGTTGCTCTGAACTGAAACTGAAACTGTTCTCTCCTCTGCCTGTGTTTGCTTGTATTTACTGCCAGGTTGGAAAGCCTGCTTTTGGTATTGTATATTTACTTCATGTGTCCATATTATGTATAAAGAGATGTTAATGAATCCTGCTGAAACAGTTACCTGGGTGTGCTTTCTGGTTGTTGATTGCTGCAACAAACTCTGACTCAGGTGCCCCCAACACAAGTGATATTGAGCTGGCCAGGCCCAACCTGGCCACCCCCCAACCCCTCCATGGAGGTCAAACACAACCCTGATGCGGCCCTCAATGAAATCAAATTTGACACCCCTGATCTATGGTATACCCTCAAGCAACCTTCTGTCCTAACAGAATGCTTAAAAGTCTGCACACTTGATGAGCAACACGGATATTGCAACTCTCACTGTCAAAAACTGCACAGGCAGAAATTAGGAATTTGCAATCATTCGCCAAGCCTTTCTGATCCCGAGTTATTTCAGAGCAATGCCTTCAGAGAGATGGCCCATCTTAAAATAAGCAGGAGAAAGCTTGAATGAGGACAGAGTTTGTGAAGGCAGGGTTTTGGGGTCAGTACATTGGACTTGAGGCTCCATCTTAATAAACAGCTGAGCTAAACTTGAAAACCATCCATCTTCACTCTGAAATCCTCACAGCGGTATTTCGCAGTGGTTGTGGATCTGTTGTGGCCTGCCAGGAGCCAGCAGAGCTGGCAGCAGATTTGGACAGTGAGGAAGTGGTTGGGGAGGAACATGGGCCAGTCCTAGAGTCTGGGGAAGGCTCTGATGAGGGCTCTGTGTCGGAGGCAGAGAGGGGGCCAGAGCTGTATGCCAGTTATCAGCTGCCTGAGTCAGACATCAGTGAGACAGGCAAACAGCTGGAGCCTGCTCCCAGTGTGCGCATGCACAGAGTTGCCAGACGAAGGGAACAGCTAAAGAACAGGGGT